CACGGGTTGAATTTTATTTACTACAAAATTTATATATATTATATATTTTAGACTAAAATTTTGATATATTATAGTAGAAAGTGAAAATATATTAATTTTTTTGTCCTTATATATAATATTAGAATGAATATATTTTTCTAATTATGGCTATGAATGATTATAGATTTTGGTTTTTGGATTTTATATTTTTGTTTTTGGTTTTTGGATTTTGCAAAAATAAAAGAAATAAAAAAAATAGAAAGAAAAAAGAATGTTACGTTAAAAATTTGTTTCGAAAAGTGAAAAACTCAAATAAGATGGATTTTGGATTGTCAATGAAAATTGAAAAAATCTTGCAAAAACTAGATTCCTTATTTTTTAGGAAAATCATATTCACAAAATCTTGAATGGGTGAAAATAAAAGAAATAAAAAAAAATAGAAAGAAAAAAGAATGTTACGTTAAAAATTTGTTTCGAAAAGTGAAAAACTCAAATAAGATGGATTTTGGATTGTCAATGAAAATTGACAAAATCTTGCAAAAACTAGATTCCTTATTTTTTAGGAAAACCATTTTCACAAAATCTTGAATGGGTGAAATAGAGATTTGTTTGAGCTAATTACGGAATTTAAGAAATTCTTTTTTTCAATTTGTAATTCTTTAGTTGTTGAAATAGAGATTTGTTTGAGCTAATTACAGAATTTAGTAGTTATTCGCATAATCGAATATGTTATGAACATAGTTTTAGTATATAATAATATCAAATTCAACCCATACGTGGAGTATATTTTTATTTTAGAATCCCAATGAAAATATTGCGTGAACAATCTATTATTCGTTATTTTTTAATTATTTGTAAAATCAAATTTTCAAATATTTAGCAGTGTCAAATCTTATTTAACCCATCTCTTCTTATAATCTTAACATGTCGTCTGTTAAAAGCAGGGCCGGCTCAATTAATTTGGAGTCCCTGTACACATTTATAAAATTGGCCCTTTTTCGTACAAAAAAAAAGGCCTTTTTCATGTTCAAAATATCTTAAAAATTGGCCTTTTTTCATACTAAATAAAATATTTGGGCCTTTTTCATACTAAAAATATCTTATACTCTTTAAAATATTTTTTATTTCCTTATTAAAAACAAAAATTGGGCCCTTAAATTTACCCAAAAAATTTTTGGCCCAGAACATTTGCTCCCCTGACACCCCCTTAACGCCGGCCCTGGTTATAAGGATCATAACTCTTTCTATCATATAATAAATTACATTTAACCAGCCGTCTGTTATAAATATTTTAAATATATCTGTTTTAAAAATCAAATTAGAGTATTTATAATTTTTACCTTTTTAATATATTAAATATTTATGATATTCTTTGAAATATTAAAATAAAAAAATTTTAAATGTTCCAAACTAAAATATTTAAAATTTTTATTGTAGTATATAAAATTATGAATTTCAAAAAAAAAGTTCTATGAAATTAAATATAAATATTCAAATAGTTATAAGGATCATAACTCATTCCATCATACAATAAATTATATTTAACCTGTCGCCTATTATAAATATTTTAAATATATTTGTTTAAAAAAATTAAATTAGAGTATTTCTAATTTTTAACTTTTTGATCTATTAAGTATTCATGATATTTTTAAAAAATATAAAGTAAAACTATTTTAAATGTTCCAAATTAAAATATTTTAAAAGTTTATTGTAGTATATAAAATTATACATTTAAAAAAATGTATTAAATTGAATATAAATATTCAAATTTTGATCCTTTACTCAGTAGAAATTATTGTTGAATTTTCAACAAGAAAAAAAAAATTGTTGTTGAATTTATTTTCGTTTAAGAGAAATATAATACTCAAATCTGAATTTTTGACCTGTTACATTTTTTCCATCATAGATTGAACAATTTATAGTCGTTATCAAAAATTCAAATCATGGCATATGCGGAAAAAAATCTATATTTTTTTATTATATATATGATATGATGATTTATTTATTTAACAAAAAATAGAATCACATAAAGATTAGAGGTGAAGTATAATGATTAATAACAGATTAATATGGTAAGTTAGATATCAAATCTTATATATTCATTTTGATTGGTCACATGTGAGAACTGTTACATATATAGACGATTCTACGACGGATAATTCCTTCCAATCCTTATTAGATCTACGGCATACGACACTTCCTTCTTCATGCTCTTGACGGACACCTTCAATGATCCACGACCTGACGGCACTTCCTTCTCTGCGTAGAATCTTGGCGAACGGCTATAATTGTAAATCGATGAAGATCTCATGCACATTTGCCTCCATTAATCTACAAACTTGTTAATAAATCGCAGTATCTGGGACTCGAATCCCAGGCCTCTTGGTGTAGAAGCATTAATTAACACTGTTGGGGTCGGATTTCATCCCATAGCACCGAGCCGAACTTCGAACGCATCAGGGAATTTCTGAAGACACCTCGGTGGAAACTGCCATTCACCTCGGGTCGAACTGCCAATCACCTCGGGTCAGATTGCCACTCGCCTCGGGTCATCGCATCGATCACCTCGGGGAACAGCCATAGTCTGCTCGGGGTCTGTCAGCAGGCTTGTGAACCCGAGCCGGCTCCCTTTAAGTGCCCGAGCAGATTCACTTCGGGAAACCGAGCCGGCTTGTGTTGAGACCCCGAGCTGGCTCCTTCCGTGAACCCGAGCCGCTTTCCCTCGGGAGCCTAGGCCACGCCTCTGTTGTTCCCGAGCCGGTTGCATAAGTTCCCCGAGGCGAAGTCTTCATCATCGCCCGAAGCAAAGACTTAGTAAAATATTCTTCTCTAAAGGTATCATTTCCAAGCAAGTTATCATTTCCGAAAAAGAAGGATCATTTCCGATAAACTCGGAAATGATAAGGAAGAATCGCGAAGGATCAACTCAAATCAGGAAATCTTCCGAAAACTCCGAAGAATAAGGAAATTGTCCTAATCCGCGATATTCTGGCCGACTTTAAGATAAATGGAAATCTTCCGGGAATATCGCTGGAGAGGCGGTTTATCATCCCTATATAAAGAGACTCAAGGCTCAAACGAAGGGACAAGCAACATCGCTCTAGAAATTACACTACGCAAAGCTCTCACAGCACAAACACTTTTTCTTTTACGATCAAACTCTTGTACGATCAAAATCGTCTTTTCATTAATAATATCAAGAACACCATCTTTGGTAACAATCGTTTCTGTTGTTCTTTGAGAATTCACGATTATCGTATCCCTAAAATAAACCCTAGACAAATCTTGATTGTGTTAGTTTCGACTTCCACAAACACTTAGTCAACCAATGGGAAAAAGTGGCTTCCACGCATTTTCGTTTTTATAGTTTAATTAAATTAATTAAATCTGGCAAAAATTATATTGACATGGGCATCAGATGTAAGAATGCATCTGAGATTACATGGTCTTCTTAGCACCAACAGTGAATCTGAAACGACATCAGATGAGAATAAAGCTAAAGCCATGGCATTCCTAGGCCACCATCTCCACGATAGTTTTAAAAATGAATACATCACGAAAAAAGATCTTGTTGATCTATGGCAATCACCCAAAGATCGTTTTGATCATCAGATATATGTGATTTTGTCAAAAGCCAAACATGAATGCCTAAATATGATACTCTAGTTTTCTCTTGATTGACATGTTCCGAAGATGCATAGAAAAGCTTTGAAGGCCAAAAACTTATATCATAAAGTAGATTTCACGTGTTTCGCTTGTATTGGTCAATAATGCTTAACTGTTTGCAACTTTGCTTTAAAGTCCACTTTTATTGGATGGTTACCACATAGATTTTTGGACCTTTCTGAAATATGATTCACCTTAAGGACACGGAATTTCAGTTTTCACCGTATCCTTAGATTTTTAGAAAAACATTAAAAATAAAATATTAAGTAATAGAAATATTACCAAAGAATCAGATTTCATCAATAATTTTAGTAGAAATAGTACTAAAGAATCAAATTCCATCAATAATTTTAGAAGAAATAATACCAAAGGATACCACTCCTCTATCTTAACTATTAAACTAGATTTTAACACCTGGTATACCGCGGGACGATGTATTTTTAAAAATTAATAATTTTTTAAATTTAATGGTTATTAACCCGCGGTATGCCGAACTAACGAAATACAAACATTTAAATAAATTTGTTTATTAAGTTAGGCTTCCTATTCATTCGTATTTAAATTTATTTTGATCTTATTTATAATATGATTCTGAATCATTTTCTAAACATTTTAGCAAATATGGGACGCTGAACCACACTTTTTCATCAATTAGGTAATATATATATCCGTTTTAAAAATTTTGAATTACAATATTTGCAGAAAAAATAATTGAGATTTTTTTTAACTTTATGTATTATATCATGATTCAAAATAGTTAAAAAAAAATTCAAACAAATATAATAGGAAAATCGTAATTTTAAATCTTAACAAAATCTTCTAAATATCTATATTTTTAAATATGGAATATCCGGTTCATAATTTCGGATATGTTTTGATCCGATCCAAATAAAAATATGGAATATCCGATATAAGATTTTGAAGAAAATTTTGTATCGGGTCGGATACCAAAAATCTCGGATAAATTTTTAACCCACCCGATACGAAATGTAATTCAATTCTAGTATAGATTATTATTATATATATATATATTAAATTCACTATTATGGTACACTAACAAATAAGTACGAAATTATTAGGGGGAGGATTTATTGAAATTAATTTAAAATTATATTACACGGCTTAACATGCATAATTGTGAATGCATATCAATTATTGAAATTTAGGAAATTACTTTATATAAAAAAACCATAATTTAAAATTTAAAGAGCATATTAAAATTACAATTGTGTGCGGAAATATTCATATCCATTATCCAGTAATAACAAATATGATAAAAAATAAAAGTAGAAATAGAAGTTAAATTTGCATTTTTTGTTAAATAAAATAAGTTGGAAAGAGATACTATGGAAATAAAATAATAAAAAAGTTCTTCTTTTACTATCCAAAAATGTTGGAAACATTCTTCGTTACTTATTCCATTACTACAAATTACATCCTCTGTTTTGATATTTTCTGACCGGCCATGAGCTTACGAAATTTTCTTTTATTTCTTGCACGAAATCTCAAAGCTTTTTCTTTGTTCGTCTCACTGTTGTAGTGAGATAACATATGTGCAGCAAATCTTTGAGAAGTGTCAAACACACCATTGCACTTGGGACACGTATATGGACCATATTTCACATATGGTATACTATGTGTACGTCCATCATATTGATTATCATCACTTTTCTCATCTTCTTCAGAATGAACATAATAAGTAGTTCTTTCAAAAAGATTTGTTGGTTTGGAAATTTTCTTCGAAGATCGACTAGCGTGAGGAACATGGTTACACTTTGATGTAAAGGAAGAAAAATCTGAATGATGAAGAGCAGCAGAATGTTGGCGCGGATAAATGACACTAAGAGGTGTAGGATTCAAAATTTCGCACTGATTATCGAAAAAAATTTGAGGATAAGATACAGGATTCCAAATATTAGTATTAGAATCCATGGAACGTTTGACACGTTTAATTTCATGTTGGAAATTATCAAGTGTATTGGTAGGAACAATAGTAGTATACCTATTTGTGATGGTTTCAGTAAAAGAAATTTGAGTAATATGAGAATTATTTTGAATAGAAAAATATTTGGCACCAGAAAAAGAATCAAAGTTTCTCCTCATCATATGATAGTTCATATGTGAATTGTTAATTTGAAAAGAAAATGAAGAGGCATGTGAATTTTGATAAGAAGAAAAGGATGGAGGAGAATCAAACAAATCTTCATGGTTCATGCGATGGTTTATGAAATCATCACCGTAAATATTGAACCTATTTAGATTGAAAGACATATTGAAACTTAAGATGTATCTTACACCATTTGCCTATGTATCATTTTATATAATTTTCAAGTTGGTAAAAAAGGTAATAAATTGAAATTATTAATTCAAAGTCAATATATTTTGTTATTTAGTTAATTTCAAATTTGGTAACGTTATTTATGACTATGAATAACTTATTTTTGGCGTGTTATTTCTTTTGTTGACTACTTAGTTATATTTTTGTATTATGGTTTGAAACTTTGAATTGTACATTCTTTCCTAAAATTTATAACATGGTATATATTATGGTCCTGAACGTTCGGTTATCCGATCAGTTATCGGTTCAATTCCATTCGATTTCGGTTATTTCAGTTCTAAAATTTAGTATTCATTCGGGTATTTTGAAATTTCGGTTCGGTTCTGGTTCTTTCGGTTTTAAAATTTATTATCCATTCGGTTATTTTGCTTTGGATATTTTCGGATATTTCGTTTATTTTTAGATATTTTTGGATATTTTTTTGTTATTTTCGAGTATTTTTACTATTTATATATATTTTCAAGTATTTTTGATTATTTGGTCTATAAATAACTAATATTTTTAAAAATACAATTATGTTTCGGGTATTTACGGTGATATTTGGTAATATTTTTGGTCTATATATATTATGAATATATATTTTTCGATCCTTTTTAGCATTTTCTGGTTTCTGGACCTGTTATGGTAAAATAGCGAATTTAGGAGAGGAAATGGAGCAAGAGGAGAAAATATCCAAGATCAAGACTGACCGGTTGGACAATTGTACCAGTCGGTACAGAAGACTCTCATAACCGATCTGTTATACTTTTAAACTGATCGGTTTGCTTTGTATTTTTTCCTTGTTTCAGGGCTCCGACTCTTTAGCTATAAATACTCAACACTCTATAGCCGCAAAGGCAGGCCTTTTTGTGCTAGTTTTTTATTTTTCGAAAGTTGTTCTTCTTTCATTATTTTGTTTAAAGAATGTTAAAATCCTTTGATAATCTCTATTCAAACTCTTGATCCCTTTTTCTACAATGATCATATGTATTGCTCATGTGTGAGTAGTCCCATCATTGAGTTTAGAGATTTCAAAGGAATGTTTGTTTAAGTTTATTTACGAGTTATTTTACTTTTGGATTGTTCTTCTAGTTCTCTATCTTTGATTATTCTTAATGTATTAGTTGAATTAAACACTTTTAACTATTGTCTTTAATCGAATTCATCAAGCCATCAACAACGGTGTTGAATCGATAGATCTATCATTAGATAGGCAAAGCTTCTTTAGCCAGCCAAAAATTAATGTTATTATGTTTTGTGAATTGATTGAATTACGATCTTAAAGCTTGTTAGAATTTCCTAAAACAAACGATAGTTTAGTTGTTATGAAATATCTTTCATACTTAATTATGCAATGCGAGAGCAGGGTAATTAATTATAAGTAATTTAAATTTAAGAAAGAATATTAATGCTTCTATAATTAATGTACTTGTTTTTATATGAACTCTCTTATGACTTCTCTAGATTCAATATTTGTTTTTAAATACCTTATTTATTATTTATTTTATTTTATTTTTGAAAATTTCACACGAGTTCCTTTAACTCCTATTTTGTTCTAGCCATGTCTAAGTCTATATAGTTTATTGTGTATTTCTGTGGTCTATGTGGACAATCTCTAAGTACTACTGCGTTTGTACTGTGCACTTGGGATCTTTATTAAGGGTTAAACCCACAAAATCCCTTCTTGTTCTTACATTTTTTTCTGTGAATCCCAAAACAAAATTATTTATGTCTTGGGGTCTTGTGACGGGTTACTACTCTTGGTTCGGATCTACGATTTAGGCTTCTTTACTTAATCAGTCCAACAGCGAGGGAGCAGCAGAAACTTTTGTATTATCACAATGGCCGTATGTTTTAGTTATGCTACTGACATAAATAGTCTAACAATTAGATAGACACTGCTCTCGACATTTCTAAATCCTCAACTAGTTGGTACGTCGTTCTTCGTCCATAATTGATTATATATTTGGATGTAACATTAATCACCAACTCTGAAAATATATCAATATATGTTAGAGATATGTAGTGGAGTTACAAATATATTGGCTCTTAGACTATGAAAAATATGTGTACTATTGTAAAATTACCAAAACATTGCCACTAACCCAAAATATGGGCATTAAGTGGTATAGAGGCAATGTCTTGGTAAAGCTTTAACTTCTTGATCTATGCGTCTATTGTTTGAAAGGAAAACTTTATAGTTGTGTAGAATGTATAAACTAATTTCAGAACTCAAATTAAAATTGACTAAAAAGATTTAGATAAGTAAAAAAGATAAAAGATTCACACGAAAAGAATATGTAAGTTTGACAATGGGGGAAAATAAAGAAACACAAGAGTATATAAATATCAAAATGCGTTAGTTACATTTAATAAAATCAAAGAGTTGTTAGGTGAAATGTCTAACCAAAAAAGAGAAAAAGCAATCACATCATCACACAATACTTGTTGAATACTCTTTTTCAAGACCGGCCTTTAAATAAGCCCAGAAGCAGCCGACACATATATGAAACAAACACACACACTTGTTTGGACATCAGTATCTAACCAATTGATTCTGACATTTCATCTTTCTCTATGGAATCATTGGTTGATAATTTTTTTTTTATTTTAATAATGACCACTAATTTAGAACTTGGAAGTCTAATCTTTTTAATGGAATAGGGATGTCTTTTTTCTTTCTAGAGAGATATATTAAATAAAGATACCACTATTATTCTTTTTCCTTGGGAAAACACTTTGATTTTAAAATTTATAAGAATTTATCATTGGATTCTCAAGAAAGTGTTTCCTTCTATTACAAAATCCATATTTTTAGCAACTTGGGAGTTTTAAGTCAAGATTTGTTCTGTTTTCTTATGTTAAAAGGCAAAATCGAAGAAGCCAAATAGATGAACACAAGTATTATCAAACTATGTGAAGCATTTTGTATTCTATATACAACACTCATGTGATGATAATCATAAGTACATAGAGGTATGCCATGGAATATATAACAGCTAAATAAAACTATGCAACCTCGGATTCATTATTTGCGAAATTTGCCAATAAAACCACACCACACTGCAAGGGACCCGTCAAGGCTCTCTCAAATACAACAATGGTTTGGTTATTTGGATCAGAATCTTTGGCAAAGATATGAACCAAGAAGATTCCAGCAAGGTTTCTTCCTTTGTTGTTGTTGTTGGATTGGTGCGGTACGTGTAAGATCTTCATTCTTGTGTAACAGATTCCACATTATGTGTATGTCTTCGTACTCGCAAGAACTCACGTCGTTTTGTAACCTCAAGAGTCCTGCAACACACAAGACCATCAATTAGTTTTTTTTTTTTTTTTTTTTTTTTTTTTTAACATCGATTTAATTATTCCGGTTTTATTGAAACATCCGACTAATCCGGAAGGTGAATAAATCATCCTAAGTAAAGATTTGTTCCACGGATAAAGCAACAAAACCTCAAAGACCTTTAATTCTTGATAGCTCAAGAGTCTCTTGTTATAGCTAAAACTTTTCCACTGACAGTTTCTATATATGATCAAGAATCACAAAAGAAAGTGACAAAAATCTAAGCTAAATCTCAAAGGAATTTATAAGATTATTTTTTTTCGGTTTTTTCATCAAAAGCAATGAAACAGAGGATTTTTAGCCCTCGGTGAAAAGGACCGTGGAGGATCGGAGCTTACCGCTATGTCGAAACCCGACGCGAACGGTGAAACGATTCCAGATGCGCCGGGTGGGGAAGGCCATCGTGTTCCACCACTCTCTCCATCTTAGGCCGGCCATTAGATCAAAGTGAAGAGAGAAAGAAGAGAGAGAGAGAATGTAGAAAGGGAGAAGAAACCCAACCCCCAAAAACTGACGTTACAAGCAATAACTTCAACTAAATAGAGAGTCTTATTAAAATAAAAATATTACTATTACAATAAAAATATTTTAATAAGAAAAAAATATCAGCCGTATATTCTATGTTTTATTCTTAAAAACATATTACATAAATATTGAATAAAATAGTGCAAAGACCTTTAGGTCCTTTCTTCACTGGATGGAGAAAATAAATCTGATTTCTGACATTCTGGTCTGGTCGATTTGGTTCGGATAGTGGATTTTTGTGAAATGGGTTTTGGAATATAGGTTTCATATAAGATCAACATTTTGGTGAATTTAATAAAATCATAGAAAAGAAACAAATAAATGATTCTAAATTATAGCTAAAGAGTTTTTGAGAGTTTTCTATAATCTTGTTGATTAGTATTTCATAATCTTGTAAACTTTTCAAAACAATCTCTCTATTTTAATGATATTTTCATGACTTTATTTTGTAAAGAAAAGTGTAGACAGTCAGAAACCAATAACATAATAATTTAATTCATTAATAATCATAGATTCTAATATTTTAATTGAATAACACGAAACTTTTAATGACTTTATAAAAATATCAATCCAATAACTCAAGATTTATGAAGATTTTAGATTACTTTTTACAAATCTTAAATTAATAACACCAGACTTTAACAAACTTTAAAAAAATCTTGATCGAATAACAAGAGATTCTACATAACATTTCAAATCACTAAAACTCTATTTAAATCACAAACCAATAACACCCCCTTATTTGTATTTGGTTTGAAATTTTTGGTTCAGATTAGGTGTTAAATATAATTATTATAAACATAATTACTTCTAGGCAATAAATAAATTTTAAAAAAACATATATAAGATTTCTTGTATATTTAAGGTTGTGATTAATTATTAATTATGATTTATAAGGAAAATAATTTATTTTAGATAGAAAAATAATCTAAGTTCTGCTATAAACTTATTAATTATTTAATATTAATTTTCTTTTATATCAGATAAATACATATTTAGATTTTGAATGTACAATTGTGAAAAAGTGTGGTGTGGTTTTAGTGGGTGATTAGTTGAGTTGTAGCTGTAAAATTTTTGTTGTAGAATTTTTGTTGTATCTGTGTTTGCTATAACTGTAGGTTTTTTCTGTAGGTACTTAAATAGTAAAGCATGATTGGTAAAGTTAGTTAAATATTATAGATTTAAATTTTAAGTATATGAATTTTAAAATTTTGCAATATATTACATACGATAACAAATGAAACATATAATAAATGGTAAGTTTCATATATACATTATACAATTTTTGGGGAAAATATATATTATAATATAAAATTTTATAATAATGAAATTAAATATAAATATATATCTATATATATATATATTTATATATATAATTTTCTATCACTTTAGTAAAAATATTGTAAATAGATTATTTTTTCTTATGTTTAAAGTATCATGTACTCATATGCCGTATAAAAAATAAATAATTAAATATAGGAAAAAAATGTCTACAGCTCTTGAAACAGAAAAAAATATGCTGTAGAAATTTTAAGAGTTATAGCAAAAAAAAAAAGTTGTTTTGAGCTGTGAGATTTTTTAGAAAATTTCTTATATTTAAAGTATCATGTACTAATATACATTAAAAATAAATAATTAAATATTAGAGAAAAAAATGTCTACAGCTCTTAAAAGATAAAAAAAATATGATGTAGAAATTTTAAGAGTTACAAAAAAAAAAAAAGTTGTGTTGGGCTGTGAGATTTTTTAGGAAAGCTATAGCTTGATTGGTTCAATATTAGGGCTTTAAACTTTTTTTGAAGTTGTACTATAAAGATACCGTCCAACCAGTCACACCCTTACTAGTAACAAAAATATATGTAAACGTTTTTGTTAGTAATAAAACTGATCTGTATTGTACGGTTTGATCTCTATTAGGAACCATAGTTTAATTTTAGGTTTTAATGAGAAAATAAATTTTTGTCCAAAAAAAGAAAAAAATGAGAAAGTAAATTACTCTTTTTTAAAATAAATTTGTTTTCCAACCTTTCTCTTATTTTTCGTTTATGTAATATTAAGGCGGACTGCTTACTCCGTTCGTCTCGACTTTTATTTTCTAAAATTACTTTTGTAAACACTACTCATCCTAATTGAGCAACCAATCAAGAAGTCTTTTTTTTTTTTTTTTTGTCATCCGCAATTAATTAGAGCTCAAAAGAGTCATTCATGAGGAATGTTGTTTACATAGGTGATATGAAACGGTTCTGTGCGTACTTTTCGTGCCAGATTATCCGCCTTACTATTAGCCCTACGAGAAATTAAAGATAAAGAAAAAGATGAAAACTCCTCTTTGTCGCTCTGAAATTCCTCCAAATACACTAAAAACGCCGGCCATTCGGTTGGAGAAGACACCATCTTCACCAGGTCTGAACAGTCTGTAAAGAACGCTACCTCTTGATTATCTGCACCAATCATACACTTCATCGCCCAGAGAAGGGCCTCGACTTCGGCATGTAGTGGAGATAGACTTCTACGGAGGTTCGCAGCTCCCATGGTTGTCGGCTCTCCATTTGACGATGTACAGAACCAGCCTGTACCTGAGAACCTATCACTTTCTTTCCATGATCCATCCACAAAACAACGGTATCCCGAATACTCCGCCTCAAGTGAAATATCCCTCACTCGATCTTGATTTACCAAGTCCATAGAACCATGATTTTCATTATGGAGCTCAATTTGAGCTGACTGCCACAATTGTGCCTCTTTTTCCGCTAATCGTAATACTTCTGCTGGGTCTGTATCTATGTTTTCAAAGATCTATGTTTACCAATCAAGAAGTCTTTTAATAATTAATGTGTGGTTGACAAAAAAAAAATTTGTTTTATTTCTAAAGAATTCTAAAGAAACCCTAAATGCATTTTATTTAATAAAGATAACTAAAATATTTTAAATAAATGGGGATAATTTGATACTCCCTCCGTTTCAAAATATAAGACATTTTAGCTAAAAGCACGCCGATTAAGAAGATATATTTTTTAAAAGTTCAGTCAATCATAAAAGAGATTGCATAATAGAAATAATCATAAAATATTACTCCCTCCGTTTTCGAATAGTTGTCGTTTTAGAATTTTTTTGTTTTTAATTAGTTGTCGTTTTCAGTTTTCGATGCAAATTTATTACTTTTTTTATTTTTTAGATTTATTTTTATTATGCAACTTGATTTATTATTGGTTAAATTATGTTTAGGTAGATAATTAATGATATTTTTATATCGAAAAACTAACAACATTAATAGTTTCTTAATTTGTGTGCATATAGTTAAAACGACAACTATTCGAAAACGGAGGGAGTAAAGTAATATATAATTTATATAGAAACTTGAAAACGACTTATATTGTGAAACAAAAAAGTTTCTTCAAAACACCTTATATTTTGAAACAGAGAGTGTATAATTTTAAAAATTTTTAAATATCGGCCGACAAAATTTGATTCAATTTAAATCGGTTCGGTTTGGGTCAATTATTATGGTAACAAAAAAGTAGAGTTTCCACTTTCGATTTTCGAATGAGGAGAATAAAGGAAAATCACTAGCTGCGTCTTTTGCCTTTCGGCATGCTGACGTCATAGCAACTAGATCTTCGCCACGTATGATAAGATACACTGTGGGTCCCATTTGTCGAGTGCCGTTGAATACGACGAACAATATTAAAATGTCGGTAGCTCTTATAATTGTCTCCACGTGTAGATTTCCTGATGGCTTTTAGATTTCAATTTTGGTTTTTTTTTTTTAATCTATTTTCTGTGGAAGAAAATACGGAAAAACAAATATCATGTTTTTTTTTCTGACGGCAAATATCTCGTGCCAATTGTTTTTTCTTATAAAGAAAGTGAAAATATATAATAGGACAAAAATTTAAGGACAAATGTATATATATACTTAGAAAGAAAAACAGTGTTTTGTTTTGGCCACTATCGAAGGACCAGGGCCGGCCCAAAGATTCATGATGCCTAAAGCCCAACAAATTTTGATGTCCATTTACAACAATACTTTGGTATCAAAATTTAGTATCCATTCGGTTATTTTGCTTAGGATATTTTCGGATATTTCGGTTATTTTTGAGTATTTTTGGATATATTTCGGTTATTTTTGAGTATTTTTACTATTTTTATATATTTTTCAAATATTTTTTATTATTTGGTCTATAAATAACTAATTATTTTGAAAATATAATTGTATTTCGGGTATTTCGGTTCGGTACCGACTCGGTTACGGTTATTTCGGTTATAGAATTTAGTTTCTATTCGGTTATTTTTAAATTTTCGGTTCGATTCGGTTCGGTTTTTTTTGCTTCGGTTTCGGTTCGGTACATTCGGTTCGATTTATTTGCCCAGAACTACAAGAAAGTAACAACAAATAAAACTCGGGCTATTTTTATGGCCCAAATCATAGCAAATGGCATATATATATGAGTCAAGTATGGTAAAGCCATTTTGGTAATTCATGGAACGAAAAAAGTCTTGCATTTGCGTAAGCGAGAGTGACAAAGAAGAGATTTGTCTGATTTTTGTTTGGGTTGCTTCTTTCATGCGGAAAATGGAACTTTCGTATTTGGCCCTAACAGCGACATATGGTCGGCTTGAACTTAGTGGGTGGTAGTTGCATCCAAGTTTCGATCTCAAACTGGTTCCTTTCATTTGTTGCCAAACTAGTAACGTAGAGAAAATCTCACCGGGGTGCACACGAGCTATTCATTGTACCGTACTACCGTGGTGAGATTTTAATAACTGCAAATGTGCCCTTTGAAGTTTGGCCCTTTGGTAAGACTGTGTTTTAACAAGTAGTTTTGCTTTTTATACTCCTAAGGATGGAGAGAAAAAGAAGATGGTGAAGCAAGTTTTCGCAGTGAAATGTGATGGAACTTTGAGAATTCCTGATAAATATATGCTTGGATGATCAAAATTCATACATGTTTGTGTCCATATCTATGCGAAATTTTTGGTGCATTGTAGACACCAAGAAAAATTCTACTAGTACTAATGGTTGGTTCAATTGAATAAAGAGAATGCGATTGCGTGTGGCCAAGAACACTCATAATTGTCATTGTTCAGCTG